CTTGAGAGCCTTGAAAATCCCCCAAAACGGCCCCAGTTCAAGAATACCCAGTTTGTGATCGAACCAGGGCCACTGGTTCCATAGTCCAGCATGATAACAACAAACCGAGCTGAGGGAGCGCCTGCGTAGAAATTTAGAAATCAGAGCATGGACAGCACAGACGACGGGAAAAGTAAAGAACGTGTTAAATTAACGAAGAATACAGACCAAGAACTGTTCAAGACGAAAAACGATTGAAAAACCAAAGATCGCGAAGAGTGCACAGAGGAATACGAAAGATAAAAGGACGTAGAAAGGAGAGAAAACGGGTTAATTTGATGAAGGAAAGATAAGACAAAGAACAGGGCCTGTTAAAAGAACAAAGGGGAATAAAGAAGAAAGAATTAAAGAAGACCGAGAATTAGATAAGGAGGATATGAATTGAGAGGCAGAATTTAAAGCAAAAAGGGGCTAGTTGAACAGAGTCGAGTGAATTAGAAGATAAACAGTCATATTAGGAGAAAAAAACCAAAATCCCCCGAAAACAGACGGTTTGAGACAATATAAATGCTAAAAGGAGTGCGATGCAGTGTGTTTATTGTGTCTCGAGTTCTTTTTTTCTGAAGGCTGGGTAGGGGAGGGGTTGCCACCTGATGGAGTGGACTGTTGGGGACAGGTTTGTGTATAGGTGGATGGTAAGCAGCTCTATTGTCTTTGAGTATAAGAGATTGTCGGTGTTCTTTATTCTTCTTTATTCGTTTGTGATATAGCTACTGTTTTTCTGTTTCTTTTTTGTTGGTGCCCAAGGGCTTTTGCTAAGTTTTGACAAATAAATAGAGGAGGCAACACTGACATGTTTTTGCTTTCCTTTGTCGGCTACAAAATCCCAAGGCACACAACCGTTCTAAAGCTAAAGCCGAGGACTTGGGGTTTTTAAAAATTGTTTTCTTACAAATCGTTATTTCGTGGGCGGCATTAATTGATAACGGTAGTTTGCACTGCAAAGATGTGCTTATGAGGGACGTTCTACAAACTATTAAAGGGAAACTCCAAAAAGTGTGGGGCGGGGGGAGGGCATATGAAAAGGGGGATGTAGGGTGACGGCATACCAGAGGTCAAAGGTCACAGAGATGGAAAAGGGTGTACACCCCCAGTTGCCCGGCGATGGAGTGACCCCCCTCTCCCCTTCCTTCCTTCCTCACTCCACCCTACGTCTCTCCCTTCCCACACTCTGCCATGTCCCGTGCTGGCGCGGAGGTCGATAAAGTTGACTCCGACACGGAAACAAGATTAACTCTCAGACTCCTTTGATGGCCGAGTCTAAAATTGTTTGATCGACTCGCTGCTCATCGCACATCGCCTGATTACAGTTACGTAATGCACGTTCATGGGGGATGCTGCTCGCTAAATTGGCACGCCGAGACAGAGGCATAGGGGAGAAATACATAGCAAACATCAGATTTGATTGCGCGGAACCGCTGATTATGATGAACGTAGCGCCGACATGCTCCCTGGATTCTGACGTTTTACCTACGTGCGGAGAAACTCAAGAAAGTCTCGGCCTTAGGAAGAGGAGGGCATCTGGACGAGAAAGTCAGCGGATATACTGTTGGGCTGGTTAGAAAGTTGTTATTTGTTAAATGTGATTTGTAGAAAACATTGAGAACAGACATCGAAATCTTAACACCGTAAAGTCACTTGAGAATATTCAGTTCTTAATACAGACCTACAGTATTTTGTTTAAAAATCCATCAGCTCTAATACCCCCCCCCCCCCCCTCCCCGCCCAGACTGTTCAGCGTTGTAGCCCCGGTTATTACGTCGTCTGTGATGTAAGTGCTCTGTCATGGTTTGTAAGCGCTATTCGAGATCCACAACTTTGACCGATGCTACCCGAACATGACCTCAGTCTGATCCATCAATTTCATCTCGTACATTTGGGGAGAGGCTAACAACTTGTCGATAACTTCCCATTGTAAAACGTTGGAAAATACTTTTAGGTTACTATGTTGGGGAAGGGGAGAAAGTAGAAGAGTGATTCACTGTAATTTTCAAACTTTCGTCCGAAATGATATTTCCTTGACTCTTTATTTTGTATAGATGCTAAAAGTTTGTGCATTGTTTCTGATCCAAACTTGATATATCACCAGAGTCTTACAAAACTTCCTCTTTCTCTTTAAAGAGTGTTGTTAGAAATTACAATACATCTTGCAGTTGGAGAAATATTTTACAGAGCAGAATGTGAATCCTGTCTCTTGTAGATTGCAGTCTCTGATGCTTGCTTACCTCTTTATTTCTATGTCTGTGCTTTATTGTTTGAGTTATTTCTCTTGTGCGTGCTTGTTGCCAACTTCATTTCCCCTCCAAACTTGCAGTGTGTTTGGAAAAAGGAACGGTTCGGGGTTACAGTGTCAGAATTTACATGAGCTTCTTCCTTCTACGTGCCCACACACCTACCTATCCACCTCTCTAATTGCACACGGCGCTTAACATACATTTGCTGATCCTTCCCTATCTACCTAACAATCTAACTACATCCCTGCCATCCGCTCTTCCTCCTTACCTACCTCAATCCATACCAACCAACTATATTATGAGAGACCGCCCACATTTTGAAATTTTTGGTGACTTAAAAATGATTTTTTCACTACGTGACAGGAACGAGGGTTGCCCACTTCGTGACTCAATGGAGCATAGTAGGAAGATAAGGTCGTTATTAAAATTTACAAGTATGGGTATGAACAAACGCATTTTTATGGATAATGTATTTGAATAATCTACCAGTCTTCATTAACCACCCCCACCCCCCCCCCCCCCCCCCCCCCCCACACACACACAAAAAGAATAAAACAGATCGAAGTGGCTAAGAAACTAAGCTCACTTCGTTGTGCTAACCTGATGGTGTCATCTGTAAAGCACTAGGCGTTGCATGCAAAAAGAAAGGAAAAAGCAAAAAGGAAAAGCCAGCAAAATGTTGTATTGCTCTTTAAGGGTTGGGGTGGTAATTGAAAAGCTGGAGTGGAAACGACTAACAAAAAATGACGAAGCAGCGTCGTTTAAAAATGAAACCCCAATAACTTTTAACGGAATGCGTTCCCACAATATGAGAAATTGAACATTCCAGGTTACAATTCCTTTCAGCACAAATGACAACGCAGGTTTTTTAATTATGCTGCCCTGAAACCTACAAAGCGTTAAGGTTGCAGCGACACGGAGCGCATATTTCCCTGGCGACTTGGGTTTTTAAAATAATAAACTGCAAGCCAGCTTAGCGAGTTGGTTAAGTAATTAGATGATTGCTATGATATAAAACACAGACATGTATTTTGTTAGATAAGCAAATTCAGAGCTATAAACACAGTGATTGTCATTAGATTATGTTTCGGGCAAGAAGTAATAACAGTTTTCTTTGCTGATTGCGATAACATTCTTCTCTGAGGTTTAGTTCTTAGACATTAAGAATCAATACTGTGAATGTCAATCTTTACCCTTCGTGAACAAACTTTGAGTCCCAAAATTTTCCCGAGGGGTTCGTATAAAAAGCACAACTTAAACATTCGAAAGACAATTTTCTTTTGATATCGCCTGTTACAAAAACAACAACAGCAAAACCTAAACTAGAAGCCTGCGATCTTTTAACGCGGTAAAATAATCTTAGAACCAAGCAGTGTGAGATGGCCAATTTGAGAAAAGTTAATTAGACCAAGAATGTGAAACACACACACACGCACAAACACACACACACACACACACACACACACACACACACACACACACACACACAGAAAGATGGCACGAAAGACACGAAGAAAGAAAAAAAAAAGAAAGACAGAAGGACGAAGAAAAAGAGGCCGACCTCAACTCTACAAGCCTCACGCTTCACAGAGCACGGACGAATCTCTTGACCTGTAGTCTGTAACCAGCGTCCAGGCAAAGGGATTATTACACGCAGGTAAACCAATCAGTCGGGTCCGGTTATCGATCCTTTTATCGATTAAGTCGGTACCGTACAACGCGTATTTCTTTGCTAGCTGCTCATTGTGCTGGAGATTAGAGAACAAAGATTCAGCCCGAAAAGTAAATTGATCGTGTCTTTTTTCTTTATTTCCTTTTGTGTTTTGTTTTGTTTTGGTTTGTTTTATTTGTTTTGTTTTTTTTTAAATTTGTGACTGAGAATCGACTACTCAATGTCTTATTATGCGCGTTACATTCATAAGGAAATATA